TATATATATATATATATATATATATAAAACATTTTCAGTCCTTCAAATATTTATACATGCGCATGATTTTGTTGACCTAAACAGTCCTCTTTACTGTAATGGGGTTGTTCACGTGAGTAATGTTAGAGTAATGCTAGAGTTTGCAGGTTTATGACCCATACAATGTCAGTGGAGCAGCTTCTGCATGTTAAGCATGCACATAAATGTTTAGAGGACTGAGGCCTTAGTTATAGATTTATGAAAGCAAAAAAAACTCTGTGTTGTCTCAAAGTTTAGCAAACACTTTATAATTGTTTTCCATAAATAGGATTCATAGTTTTTAAAAAAAATAAATACATTAAAAGTTTCTGATGTAAGAAATATCTCGAGTTTCTTATATGTTTTCAGTGAATCCAGTCCTATTTCTTGCTTTCCAAGGAAGTACATTTATAAAACTTAGATCTTGACTATCCCCTGAAAATGCTGCATATTAAATGTAGTATCCTGGCATCCCAGATCCATTTTGTTAAAATACTGTGGTTGACATCCTAAGCCAACATCTTTTGAGCCACAGTTATTGAAAGCTTTTGAAAAGATTGACTTAAACCTTTTCATCCAGCTGTTCTGATCCTAATGCTGGGATATCTATATTGGCCAGTGACTCAATTGCTCTTAGAATCACACTCAAACCCTGTGATGTTTCTATAAGATAAGAGACATAAGATAAGATGTCTCCCCATCCAAAATACCAGTATTCACATACTATATATACTCGTTCATAAACTAACTTTTTTTGGAAAAAAAATCCTGCTGTAAAGAGCAGGGGTTGGCTTATGAATGAGAGTACTTCCCAAACCGATGGAAGCAATGTGACCTAAAGAACCTATTGGCTGGGAGCTGAGAAGCTTCGTGCTGTAGCCAACATATCCCTCAGACCATGCTGCTTCCTGAGCCTTGGGAGCTGATAGGCTCTGTACCTGCAGCCACCACTAGGGTTGCAGTGGCAGGGGGGGCTACATGCAGCCAAGATAGAAGACCAGTGGGCAGGGACTCATTAGCCAGTGGGAGCCACAGGAAGCAGTGTAGGCTGAGGGATGTGCTGGCTATAGGCATGGAGTCTCTCAGCTTCCACTGGCTGGGAACAGCAAACAGCATCTAATGGGAGCTGAAAGGGTCCGCCTATAGCTACCATGTCCCTCAGCCCACGCTGACGCTGAGGAGCTGGGACTATGTTGGGTTATAAACAGGTCATTGACTTTTAACATTTTTTTTCTGTAAGTTTGGAGGGTTGGCTTATGAACGAATGGGCTTATGTTCAAGTACATACACATATCACACATTATTTTGATGGAAGGCACAGAAAACTAACCCATTTGAGAGGCTATCCGAGGCACCAGTCTTCCTTGTAAAATTCCACATACTTTTTACTTGTTCTTCATTCTCCTCCATACTCTGTTCTTCAAGAGATTCCATTGCAATAATGGGTCTATGGTGTGTTCAGAAGTAAATACGTATCACCTGTGCTTTCCCTAGAAGTTCTTTCTTGATTTCATAAGTCTACCGAAGGGTTCCTCCAAGCACTAAAAAACAGGACTATGTAGCACTTTAAAGACTAACAAGATGGTTTATTAGGTGATGAGCTTTCGTGGGCCAGACCCACTTCCTCAGATCAAATAGTGGAGGAAAATTGGCATATGTGTTCATTTTTTTGATTGTATCCTTTGGTATATATGGTTGCGCCAATTTTCTTCCACTATTTGATCTGAGGAAGTGGATCTGGCCCACGAAAGCTCATCACCTAATAAACCATCTTGTTAGTCTTTAAAGTGCTACATAGTCCTGTTTTTTAGTGCTTGGAGGAACCCTTCGGTAGACTTATGAAATCAAGAAAGAAAGCACCAAGACTGTGCCAGTGCTCACTTTGTTCATAGCTGGGAAGAACTTTTCTTTGTAAAGTAGCCTGAGAAGCCAGTGAGGATAGCTTTTACCCCAAGTAATCCAACTTGATGATTAATAAAAACATTGATGTGCAGTTTCTGTGATTATAGTACCCATTCAAATGCCGGCTTTCAGTGGGAATTACAGTTACAGAATACATATATGCAGGATCAGATATGCTTTTGGATTAAGAGGCCACTGCTATTCCTTCCCACTTCCATTTTGGTCTTCCATTCCGCTTGTTCATTCAAATGCATGTATAACTTTCTATGAATTTTTAGTGTTTATATTTTCATTAGTGGCAAAGATCTTTTCATGCAGAAATGTAACTCACTAATTATTCATTTTTTAACAGCTAAAAACTCAAAATGACCGAGAAGCTCAAAGTATTGATATAATTTTTACAGAGAGACAAGCGTAAGTACATCAGATATCAGAAAATTGAATTTTAGTATAAAATAGCTTATTAAAATGAGTCAGGATGAAGAAATGATTTAACTGGTCAGACAATTTTTAACTCAAAAAATATTCCCTAAGAGTTGGTTGTATTCTCTACAAGTGTCACTGAATAAGGTTCGTAAGGATTAAAACTTCAGTCCCTCAGTCAACTTAGTGTTTAAAGTATATTTAAAATATTTTCAATACATTTTAATAAAGAAATTGATTTCTAAATAACTTAAAATATATAATGGATTTGTTCTCATAAGTCAATCAGAATTTATCAGGTCAATCATACAAGGTGTACTGTCACTACAGCATTTATGTTCATCAAGTAAATGAAGCTATATAAAAAAATTATGTAAGAATCAGTGTCACCTTTTAAAAAAAAACAATTTGTTCTTTGACAGCATTTAGTCTCTCATCAAGATTGTTTTAAAGTTTGATTTCCTGACTGAAACAAGTAAATATTGTCATAGCCATCATAACATAATTACAATGAGTTGTTTTGTGATTTCTGATTATTCTAAAAATGGTCACATCCCTGCCAACTGTTTTATATAATTTTCTATAATTTGCTTTTACAATTGGCGCCAGTTCTACCCCCATAAATTCCTGAAACAATAGCATATATTCCAGTGGGTCTGTTTGAAGGTAGATTTGGGCCATTAATGTTTCCAGTCTTGTTTTTTTACACAATCTAAAGATTTTATGACTTCAATAAAAAAACAGTGAAATGGTAAGGACATTGCTATCCATTGTATTTTATGAACCCTTTTGTGAAATAATAAGAAATATATTTTCTTTTAATATTAAAAACTGTCCATTTTCTCATTTACTATACATTATTCCTTAAATGAAATGTTTCCCTATATCTCAACAACTTGATTTTAAGAATATTTGAAAATCTTGAGGAGATTCATCTATTTGCAGTTTAAAAACTGAAATGCCTCAATCTTTTCTTTACATGGTTAAAAATATGTTCTACATTGGCAGTTTTCATAACATTAAAGAGACATCAGTCAACAGTGGAATAAAATAAAGTATTCAGTATGTGATAATGGTATTTTGTTCATGGATGGATGTAAGTGATGTGGGGGACATGGTGAAACAGCCTTTTGTTTTGCTTACTCAAACAACTATTTTTTGTTTATGAATAAATAAAACTGAATGTGGCTTAGCTAGAAAATCCTAGTTGCTCTATTCAATGTTCTTAGTTTTGCCTAATGGCTAGAGAATTGAATTAGGACTCGGAAGACCTGGGTTCAAGTGTTACTGCTGCCAGTGGCCTGCTGGGACATGTCATTTCACCACACTTTGTCTCAGTTCCTGGCTGTAAAACAGAAGTAATGATGCTATCATTGTAAAGTGTTTTGAAATCTACTGATGAAAAAATAATATATAAGAACTTGGTGTAATTTTTCCCTATTATAATTACACAGTGAGATTTTTAGTGTCGGACTATGCTTATATATTTTAAAATATTTGTTACTGTGGTAATGCATGCACATCACCAAATTTCTTACCTATTCATTTAATACAATATGTAGCACACATTTGTCCAAAAGCTTTGTTTTCAATCTATAATATATACTAGAAATATTTATTTAAAATATTTTGAATGTATTGATCCTATATAATCAGCTCTTGAAAAGTCAAAATATCATCCATTATATACGAATTTAAACCTTTTCAGTTAATCCAGGGTCATCTATATATTTGTCCTCAATAAAACCATCCTCATCAAGTGTGAATATATGAGTTTGTTCAAATATTACAGTGGGATATTGCTCACTGATGTTTAATACTGATGGAGGAGTGCCCAGATCAGTTGTAAACTCCTTTTCAAACATTTCTGGTTCCTGCTCTTCCAGACGATGGTGATTGTAGCTGATCAAGTAGCGGTACCACATTGGGAATTTTATGGCAATAAGAATCAGTAATGAAGTGCTTAGGACAAAAACCACAACACCCAGCAGAAAGGCCCAAGTTTTGCCAAGAGGTGGAGAACCTTTAAGAATACAAAGGAAAGTAAAATCACATTAAATAAAATATCTTAAACCAAAACAACCAACTCTCCTTGCATAATACCCAAAAAAAACCCTGTAATACTAATTGCTTTATGGACAGATAAGGGACTTTTGGAAACAAACTACTAGAGGAATTCTTGACTCTTTCGTATTTTATTAATAGTACAGGCAGTCCCCGGGTTACGTACAAGATAGGGACTATAGGTTTGTTCTTAAGTTGAATTTGTATGTAAGTCGGAACTGGCTCCAGATTCAGCTGCTGCCACTGAAACTGACCAGGGGCTGACTACAGGAAGCCGGAGGCAGAGTTGCTCTGCGCCCAGTTTCCTGGAATCAGCCTGATCAGTTTCAACAGCTGCTGAATCTGGAGCCTGGGACAGAACAGCTGGGGCGCTGCCCGGTAGGTTCCCACAGGACCAACCCAGCAGCACCCCAGCTGCTCTACCCGAGGCGTCCTGCAACAAAAGCCTGGTCTGCTGGGGGGGGGGGGGGCCCCT